GCCATTCCACATGCATAATTTATTTAGCTGTTGCAAAGCCTCAGAGTGTCCTAAACTAAATGCAGTCGAAAGCTCATTATACAGAGGATCATGTCCCTGCATTGTAAATAATCTTTTACGTATATAGTAAATAATCTTCGAGTATACATTTCTATTTAAGGTTAAATAAAGCAGGTTTTTAAAGAGATATAAGATAAATGCTTTTCGACACATTCTAAAAAAAGTTTTTCGACACGATCTTTTTCGATTCGAGTAATTTAGGCACGTTCTTTTGTCGTTTAGCGAAAAAGGAGTGATTATGATAATTTTAAAGGTATAAAAGTTTTTTTTCAGATGTACCTTTTCTAAACCAAAAAAAAATGTATGTTATACTTGATGTACAAGAATTTGAAATACCCGAATTTTTTCGTTTAGAAGGAGAAACGTCGAAGAAGATGGGAGAAAGATTTGAATTGTTTTGTATCGAATTGTTGAGAAGATATTTTGAAAGATTAGGTATTATAATTGAACACACTGGGTAAGTTTTTCTTACAGAGTCTTGTAGAGTCATTATGTATCTGAAGGAACGCTGTCACCTTGATGTAAATAATCTGAGAATCGAAAGCACTACGGGCCATGTTTAATTACATGAACGTTCTTCTCAGTTTTCAAGGACCCCGTCCGTAGACGCAAAACCTCGGGGGTTTAATGATGAATAGGATACATGCTGGCTCCAGCTAAATATGACTATGAAACATGTACTCAATTAAATTGTCAATTTAGAGGAAATAATGATGGAGGAGTGGACATAATAGTAGAATTATGTGGATATAAAATTGCAATACAATGCAAAGCCTACTTTTGCCAAAATATAGGTATTTAATTAAAATAGTAGATATACCAACTTATATTACCATAATCATTTTTTATTTAGATAGAAAACTTTTAGATGAATTCAAGACAGTCGTACGTGAAGGTGATTTTGATTTCGGTGTTTTCGTTGGGGTTTTAGATAGAAGAATTTCATTGGGAGCGTATGTATCAGCTGGAAAATCAGAACATGATATTATCGTCGCAACTTATAAAAATATGTGCGAAAATATCAAGAACTTAATCGCTGGTCGATTAAGTCAAAAATTTTGCGCCTTAGAAGATAGACGTAGATTCTTAGAAAATAGACGTAGATTATTAGAAGATAGTTGTAAAAAATTTAAGTTAAATTATAAATTAATTTTTATTTCTTTTTCTGTAACCTTTTTTCTTATTTCATATGTATTTTTACTTTATAGATTTTTATTTAATTGACGATACTATCATGTTCTGATTTTTCATCTGATTGTAAATATTATAATTTTCTATTTTGTATATATTCTATTTTTTTTTATTTTTTTTCTTGTATATATATTAGGCATTTAATAAAGATTTTTTTTTGCTAATTCATACGTGGCCGATTTCAGTGCATGCATAATCAGTTTACTTTTGCGTGTGCGTTTCATGAATTTATTTTTTGTATTATTATTGATGTACATTACTCGCATATGATCGAGAATTTTTAAAAATATTTCTTGGTAAAAGTGATCGGCGTGACAAATTGTCACGCGCACATAATTTTTTTATTTGAAATTAAAAGCATTAACCATCAAGAAAAATATTTTTCGAAACGTGTACAGTAAAATTCTTTTTCCAAACATTTATAATAAAGTTATATAAATTAATATCAAACATGCAAGATCAAAGGGACAAGTCTAAAGACCTATCTGAATTAGGTTTATTGAGACAACGAATTGTTGATCTTGAGGCCGAAAATACCGAGGTTAAAGCTGAGAATGCCAAACTAAAACAAACTCTGAAAGATTATGAAATTAGGTTTGCTAAACTGGAGCAGAATGATAAAAATACTGCCACTGAAAATGCTGGAGTTGTGAAATTAGAACAGAAACAATTACAAAACGATTCTTCTAATATCATCGATACTAGCCCTAAATTATTAGAAGATGATACGGGAGAAAATAATCAATCTTCGGTCATTACCCCTTGTAAAATGAATTCTGATGAACTTAATAATGCTCCAAATTCTGATGTATCTTTTGAAGATAATTCATCAGAGCAATCCAATTTATCATGTGAAATAAAAACCGTTACCAGTGGTAACGATCAGAACTTGGAATTGGCATCCGATACAAAAACTGTTAATATTGATAATAATGCAGAATTATATTCTTCTGATTCATCTGACGAAGTATCGGGACTTGATAGGAATCAAATTACTGAACAGACTTTAAAGCGAGATTTTACTAAATCTACTGTCATAGTAAAATCTAATGAGATAGATAATGAACTCTCTTTGGAGAAAACAACTGGGGATTCTACGCAACGCTTGGCTTATTGGTTTGAAAAAGCCATCAAATCCGGTATAAAAGAAATATTATATTGGTATACTTATTCTCTTGAAACTGAAAATAAAGTTAAAAATATGACGGCAGATGGGAAAATAAAAGAGAAGACAGTAAGATCAACGATATATAAAGAAATGCTAAAATATCTACCTAATGTTACTCCAGGTAATTTGCGAATTCGAACTAATAGAGCTAAAAAATTCCTTAACTTATTTGGAGAAAATGGTGTCGGAACAGATAAAATTAAGCTGGTAACTTGTAGCGCAAGCGATATTTCAAGATTAACTAATGTACAAATACAAAATATCATAAATTATGTTAAAGATTATGAGAATTCAAAAACCGTTACCAATGGTAACGATCGAATTCATGTGGCTGAAATTTCAACCGAGGTAAGTGCATCTATATCTTCATCTAATCCGACCCATGATCGCATTTATTTTCATAATAAAATATTAGGCCAGTATCCTGATATATATAGAGAATTTAGTAGCGAAAAATTCGATTATTATGGACTTATTGATAAGTCATTATGTCTAGCATGCAAGTCGAGTCATAAGGATGAGAAGAGTATAAGAGGTAGATATGAAGCTGAATCCTATTTTATTAAATGTGGGGGGCATGAAATTGAGATCACAGCATAAGTAAATAATTACATAAACTTGGATAAGTGGATAGTGATATTTTTTACTTCGCGCTTCGCTCTTGACAGCTACGTGATTTTGAATTGACTTGTATTAATATAAAACGATAGCATGTCTTCTGATACAACATCCAGCAAGATATTAACTGATGACTATTGCAAATGGCATGCTAATTTAGTTGATTTACCAAGTTCTCAGACAGATAAAATTCGTTCTAGATTATATAAAGCATATATGGAAGAGACTGGACTCGATCCTTGGATAAAGTCTGAAACTTTTGAATCCTCACAAATCAATGAAGTTAGCACGACCAAAAAGGATGCCAATAATTATATCTCACAAGATTGCATTATTAAAATTTCCAAGTTTCCAGAAGAGAAAGATGTAATTATTGAAGCAGTGCAAAAACGATTTCCTTTCTTGAAATATATTAAATCGAATGCATGGCACCGGGATGTTTTTAAATATACCGATTCAGAAGCTAAATGCCCAGTATGCAAAGAGGTACATACACGTCAAGGTATATGGGGCGATTGGAGCTGTCTCGGTAAAAATGATCACTATTTTCTTAATTGCCCTTTCCGTATCGATCAAAAGAAAGTTATAATCGCTATACAGAGCTTACCGGAAATTCAAGTAAGTGTACCAAACAAAACCCACCTTTATCAGCCAGAGGCAGGCTTACGCCAATATGTCATCGAGCATAAAATGGATCCCAAGAAATTTTCAGTTATTACAGAAGCTGAGAAAAATAGGTGGACCATGGGATGTTTTCGTAGGGATTTGGAAAGAGATATATGTTTCTATCATGGTGGAATAGAAAGAAAAGAAGACCCTAGAAAATATCATAAATTTTTAACAAATCGGGAGAGGCTAGTCGGTGAAGAGTTATTACGTCGCAGTATACTAAAAAGTGGGTTGAGTACTGCATGGCTTGATGATCTTATGGAAGAATGGGAAAAAATCCATCCTCAATTCGTGCAAATTTTTAGCCAGGCATAATCAGATACAAAATGCCCTACTTCGTAGAAAAATATTTCATACTTCGCTAGTTATATATTACATTTTTGAACAGATGTACGTAAAAATAAAACATGGGAAGGCCACAGGACCCCCTTCTTTATTTAATAAATATTATTGCCGAAACGGCATACAAATAAAAAATTTTTATTATATAAAAAAAACATATGCCTCAAAGAGGCACCCGGGTCAGGTTGGTGGGGTTTACATTTGATCTAACATTTCCTCCCGCTGACCAGGATTTAACCAATCATTATCATCATTGTCCCTATCACGTTCTAGGTTTTTTTTTGACATTTTTCTCCAGGTCTCATCATCTATTTTTTAGTAAAATAAAAAACTTAGTTCTGATAATTATATTTCAGCACGAATATACTGGTTTACTTACAAGATAAAAATTCTCTCGGCTTGTATTGTCGTTTTGATTTAGGGGTTGTGCTATCTTTAGTCTTGGGAGTGGTGCTATCTTTAGTCTTGGGGGTGGTATTGTTGGTCTTGGGAGTGGTACTATCATTAGCACTCATTTTTTGTACCTGAATACGAAAAAAATCATGGTAAGTAAAAATTCGTTTTCATAGTTTGCGTTAAATGAAATAGCACATTAAAAATAAATTATGGGCAAATGGATCAAGTAAAAATATATATGAGCAGAAAAAAAAACGTTATTGGTAACCCACCTTACAAGATAAAAACTCGCCAATTTTATATTGTCTCATTTCATATTACATAACAGACCCAGGTACAACGTACAGTACTATTGCTTCCGAAATAAGAGGCGAATCTACGATTCATAATCTTTCGGATCTAGTTCTGAAAAAAATAATTACGTTACTCTAGCACTACCAGATTACACTTAACAAAGCAACTCCGCTCGGTCATAAGTTCCGTATACTGAAGCTATTTTGTTATTTTTTCTGATAAAATTAACCCCCCTTAGATTCGACGATCGCTAATACAAAGTGAAAAAGTCAACGAACTCGACGATCTGGGAAATTTCAAGTCCCCCATGACATATGAAATTTGATAAAGGTTCTGATAAAGAACAATAAGCTACTTCCCGTTATAATATTTTTAACCCTTATTCGTACTTTTCTTATCGCGGGACCATATAAGATAAGGAAAAGGTTCTAGATAGTATTCGTATCGTTATAATCAAAAATCGACCGTGAGAAATGATTTTGCAGGAGAGTATCACAGCCCTTGTTCTAAATTTGTATATGTTTACAATATATTTTTGCTATTTTATGACATCTGTTATAGTAAAAATTT